ATATATATATATATATATATTGGTAAAAAATATTTTGTTTTATGTGTTCATTTGAAGATTTTAAGTGATCACATAATACTGAGGTTTATTTGACTCTTTCCTTTATGAAATTCTTCTCTTATATTGCTGTCCTGATCCATATGTGGTATGGTACCTGAGTGAAGCAGGAAGCTTTCTGTTCTTCTGTCTGTTTGAAAGCATGGAGAGTAACACAGGTTCCTCTGTTAACATCACCCCTCATATGAAACAGCACTCGCACCTTAAACTGCTCTCCTCTGTCACCCTCTATCTCTTTCACGATGGTTTTAGAAAGGAGTGATGCAGTGAGAGATGGAGTCAGGGGTGGAATGGGTTCAGACATCACCTTGAGAAGAAAAGAAGTGGTAGAACAGAATAAGTAACTTAACTTTATCTTTGAAGATGATATAAAAGTCATTAACCATAATCGAGACTGCAGTACCTGTGTGATGGTATAGGAACCATATGTAGCACGGAGAAGCGGTTTGGAGGCCGTTCCAGATCAAGGCATGAGCAACAGGGACTGGGTGGAGGTGAAGGGGCTGGAATTGGTGAAGAGAAGCCCCAGATCAGCCTGAGAGAGGGGGAGAGACTGCCATGATGATGGAACAGTGACCCGGACTGGAAGCGGTGGGGATGGGGGTGTCTGACAATGGGCTTTTGATGGAGAAATAGGAGAGTCGGGATATTAGTTTGTGAGATTAGTAACAACTGCTTTATTATTCAAGCACTGATCTCTCATATTAACAGCAACATAAAACTTTGATATACAAGATGTATAAATTTAAGAAAAAAGCCCACACTCTTTCGTTTAAATTCAAACTTGGTCTGAGAAACTTCATAGTGCTCTAAAGATTTTCCACATCTAAATAACATTCAAAAAGATTTTTAAAAATCTCACTTTCAAAGGACATAAAGTGCACTCTTAAAAATAAAGGTTCCAAAAGAAGGGGTTTTGAGGTGTTGGGGAACCTTTTGTGTTCCCCAAAGCAACTTTCAGTAACCAGTACTTAAAAATACCATATTTTTTTCAGTGGGAAGAACATTTAAAATAATCTAAAGAATCTTTTTCCACTTTATAGAACCTTTTTTAGAATGTAAAGATTCCATGAATGTTCTTTGTGGAACCACTTATGCCAATAAAGAACCTTCATTTTTAAGAGTGTATGTTTATGCAGTGTTTTGGGGGGAGTGTGAAAAAAAGTGTAAGTAAAACTTACAAAGTATTATGAATAAGTGAAGGGTGTCAAGTCTCATAGTAGAATACTTCCATTTGAGTCCAGAAAGACTCATTACATCCATAACACTCTGTAACAATAAATTCTGTAGTCAATAATAAATATTTGTCAAATTTTGTTGATACATTTATCTTATAAAACAAATATATTAAAGGCATAGTTCACCAAAAATAAAATAAAAATAAAAATTGTTGAAAATGTACTGAAAATGTACCCTCAGGCCATTCAAGATGAGTAGATGAGTTTCTAAATCAGAACAGATTTGGAGAAATTCAGCATCACTTGCTCACCAATGGATCCTCTGCAGTGAATGGGTGCCGTCAGAATGAGTCCAAAAAGCTGATAAAAACGTCACAGTAATCCACAAGTAATCACAAGTGAAAAGCCTTGTGTTTGTAATAAACAAATCCATCATCAAGGCATTTTAACTTCTGGCCAAATCCATAATGAAAACTCTTACATCAAAATCCAACGAGAAATTTATTTAGAATAGTTGTCACTTGTAAACAGAGCTTGACAGGAAAAGAGGAAACTTGATCCTTTGCAGTTTGCTTATAGAGTTGAGCATGGAGTTGAAGATGCCACCCTCACTCTGCTGGATAAGGTTGGAAAATGTTTGGATGCGGCAGATTTCTGCGTTAGGATTTTATTTCTGCATTTTTCTTCCGCTTTTAACACTGTGAACATAAATACACTTTTAAGGTGGCTGAAGGAGTTGCAGGTCCACCAAACTCTTATTTTATGGATTAATAATTTTTTAAGGGACTGTCCACAGCATGTGCTGGTAAGCAAAAAGTCGGAGAATGTGGTTTTAAACACTGGTCTTCCACAGGGATGTGTCTTATCTCCAATTCTTTTTTCTATTTATACAAATGAAATGACCTGTGATAATGATAATTTGACGCTTATAAAATATGCAGATGACATGGCCTTGGTGGGATGTGTAAAGGATATTCAATCATTATACTTACCTCAATGTTGTTAATTTTCTCACAATTTGGAGGGAGGAGAGTTCTTTGTAGCTTAATATTAGTCAAACTAAAGAAATGTGTTGTGGGGCTAATAATGTACGAGCAATTTGTAAGCCTTTGTTATCAGTGTTGGGAGTAACGCATTACAAAAGTAATAATATTACAGTAGTATATTACGTTTTGCTGTAACGCAGTAATATAACGCATTACTAATCAAATTTGGGTAATATTATTACTCGTTACAATCTCAGTAACGCAAGTTACAACAACATATTACTAACACCGCAAAACAGCACCAGAGAAAAAAATTCAGATGGTTGAGATGACTGCAGAGACGGATTCTACATTTGTGAGATGGACACACTCCTGTTATTTTCAGTTCATCGGAGAAAAGGATAAGAATGCTTAGCAATATGTGCGACACCAAACTCTCAACATGGAGAAATAGCACGAGTAAAACCTGGAAACACCTGGACTGGTGCCACTAACACTAAGCTATCGGAGAGAGAGCTGCGGGGTCGGAGAAGAGAAAAAGACGGCGGACGAGCGCAGACAAGCAACAAAAATTACGTTTAACTAAAAATAACAAAATCTGTTTTTGTTAAATCATAGTCTATATGACTATGCCGTTCCACGCCGTATGGCGCGCTGTGAGGATAATTACAATTTAGGCTATTAGTTTAGGCTACTCCTCATTGAGAATGTTTTTTTAAAGTTTTTTTTAAACAGGTCTATTAATTTATACAATTGAATTATAGGCTTATAATTAAAATTATTAACACTGCAGTCATCGATGAAAATTAAGAGCAGCTTTATTTCGTGCACAGATTTTCAAAAACAACCTGTTTAACGCGAAATACGTTTCTTCTCATGTTTTTCACTATACGGGCCACAAGAGAAATATTAAGGGAATAATTTAAGACAGATATATACCATCATCAGCCTATATTGAAGTAATTTTGTCTCTTGTTGTCTCAGAGAATATGCGCCGTTAATGCAGCGTTAGAAAGCTCCGTCAGTTTTTTTACTTTCACTTTCTCTATAGTGAATTTACTGACGTTCACCGGCATAACTCTTGCGCACAGTTTGCGCATTGCTTGCTTGTGTTGCTTGACCCCGCCCCCATAATATCAATCGTTTATAGGCCACATATTAGGCATTTTTTTTTATGTTTATTTTTTTAATGTTAATGAAAGTGACACCAAAAATAAGGGAACATCATTAGGAAATCCTTGTTTCCTAATGAAGTTTCTGATGAGCCCCGTCAAGCCCCGCCCTAGCGCCGCCACTGATTAGCCTAATTCGTTTTGGCTTGTTTAGCAACTTATATTTTTCATTCTTGTTTTCTTCTGAAACCGTTCAAATTTGCCTATAGGCTAGGTATTGTGTTTATTGTTTGTACATTATAACATTTCGCTTTATTATGAGCTTTGTAAAAATCTACGCGTTTCAGAAAGGCGGGGCATAGAGGAGAAACAATAATGTACAGTATGTGGTAAATAATGTGTTTTTTGAACCTTAAACCGCATAAACACATTTCATTACACCAAATACACAAAATAATGTTCGTTTTAGCAGCATCATATGACCCCTTTAAAAAGGTTTATAGGCTTATTGAGGAAACTGAGGAGTTTTAATATTGAAAAGGACATTCTGGTAGTTGTCCTTACTTTTAATATTGTATCCTGTTTCAACTCTCTTTCTGTTAAATGCAAAAACAGACTCTTAAGGATTAAAACGTGGCGAGTAAAATAATTGGTGAGAGTCAAGTACCTCTCACTGATCTTTATACTATGGCATTAAAAAGGAAAGCCTCTGTTATTGTGGGAGACTCTTCCCACCCCTGCGTAGTTCATTTCAGTTACTTCCATCTGGCAGACGGTATAAAGTTCCTTTGATGAAAAAGGCCAAGTATAAGAAGACCTTTATTCCAAATGCCATTGGTATTTTAAATATGATCTTAAGATGATTTTTTATGTATTATAAGAGTTGTGGGTTTAAGTTGATGCATGTAATTGTTGTTGTGATTATTATTTGTCTAAAGGGGATAGACAATAAAGCTTTTTGAATTTGAATTTGATCTGTGGATATTTCTCTCCTGATTAAGATGAGAAGACTTTTTCACTGGAGAAGGCAATATAACGGATTGAGGATTCATTTAGCTGGAGGCAACAGTTTGAAGTTAAAAATGTCTTGATGGATTTGTTTCTTACAAAAATGCAGCTTTTTGCTTCACACGATGTTAATTGACAGACTGGAGTTGTATGGATTACTTGTGGATTATTGTGATGTTTTTACTTAGCATTTTTGAGTCTCATTCTGACGGCACCCATTCACTGCAGAGATTGGTAAGCAAGTGATGTAATGCTACATTTCTCTAAATCTGTTCCGATGGAGGAACTCATCTACATCTTGGATGACCTGAGGGAGGTCAAATTTTTGGGTGAACTATTCCTTTAATATTATCCATTAGAATATGCATTTAAAAAAACACATCTCAAATACTCAAACATTTAATTCTAAGAAGTGACATGTTAATATAATTTCAGGTAAAATAAGATTATAGTTTAAAGATAGTTAATATAGTTTAAAGAGAAAATGTAAATGAAAAAAAGTATATATACATATATATATATATATATACACTATAAAATTTCCTAAAAGTTTGTACTTGCCTCAACGGTCCTTTCAGATTTTCAGATGTGCAAAACCGAAAGTAAGATATCACTCTTCGCTCACAGACATGCTCAGTCCAATGTGTGATTTTAGTCACAGAGTTTCATCAATCCATCTTCTGTCAGGGTACTTGCTTCTATGCTTTGGAAGTTTTTCTTAGTTTTGTAAATATATAAATATTCCAAGTTAAGTTATACTTCAGAAGTATCCAAATTATTAAAAAAAATAATTTCCTTATTCCTTACCTTATTTCCTTATTTTCATGTGTTGTTTTTCTCTCTTTTTTGCCATTTGTAGCTCTGCACTGTTTCAGTCTGTCACTCTCTCTGTCCCTCTTTGGCTGGTGTTCTGTTTATATATATATATATATATATATATATATATATATATATATATATATATCCTATGTGTGTTTATGTGTTTATATATACAGTATAACTTATATATAACTTCTCTCTGATGGGAATTATTATTATTATTATATAAGAATTGCCAGATTAACAGTCTGACATTGTTGGATAATGCTAAAGATTTATCAGAAGATTTATGTGAAAACAGACTGAATGCAGGTAACAAGTAGGTTTGATGTCAGTGTCACAAGTGTTTTGTGAGAAATGACAGATAGATGCACTAGATATTTTATCCAGTGTGGTCTCTCTGTTAATCTGTGCATGTAATCTGTTGTCATCTGTCATTGTTCTCTGCTGGAACCTCATTTAAACTACAGATTTAATCCTTCACTCTGACCTGAGGATGAGGAGGAGACGACACTTATCCACCCACCACACACACAACACACAACACACATTCTCCCACGAAACCCGCTGTTGCATGTGTTCTCTCGGCTGTGTGTTTGTTCTCAAAAACGAAGAGAGAATAAAGCAGCTGCAAAAACAAAGCCACATAGCAATAAAAAAAACGAACAGAACTGAAACAACCATCTTGAACTGCTGTGCATGCAAACACACACAAAGACATAGAAAGGTTTAAGCAGAAACCCACCAAGCTTTTTAACTTTCTCTCTCACTGGTGCACTTAGAAAGAGAGTTTTACTTAGCTGCCATCAGTCAGGCAAGGCATACGATTTTAAGCTGTTGTGATATTAAACCCTCTATGAGTGCAGTATTCAAAAATCAACTTGGTCAGAGGGAGAGAGAATAGATAATATTCAAAGAAAAAAAGGAAGGAAAGAAAGACAAAGAAACCAACTGAAGAGAATGAGGACATTGAGTCTACAGTATATTTAGAGCATGAGCGACAGAAATAACACAAACAGGAAGTTAATAGAATTACGACAGGAAACCACATTGCTGCAAAATTCTGCATTAACACCACATTCCCTCTCCCAACCTTAACTTGGCTTCCATGCCACCTCAGAAGACATTTCTCATCAAATTTCTCATCTAAGCTCAAACA